GCCTAAGGAGCTCGGCTCCAAGCCTAAGGAGCTCGGCTCCGATCCTAAGGAGCTGGACTCCTAGCCTAAAGAGCTCGGGTCCGAGCCTAAAGAGCTCGGCTCCGAGCCTAAAGAGTTCGGCTCCGAGCCTAAGGAGCTCGGCTCCGAGCATAAGGAGCTGGCTTCGAGCCTAAAGAGCTCGGCTCCGAGCCTAAGGAGCTCGGCTTCGAGCCTAAGGAGCTCGACTCCAAGCCTAAGGAGCTGGCTCCGAGCCTAAAGAGCTCGGCTCCGAGCCTAAGGAGCTCGGCTCTGAGCCTAAGGAGCTGGCTCCGAGCCTAAAGAGCTCGGCTCCGTGCCTAAGGAGCTCGGCTCCAAGCCTAAGGAGCTCGGCTCCGATCCTAAGGAGCTGGACTCCTAGCCTAAAGAGCTCGGGTCCGAGCCTAAAGAGCTCGGCTCCGAGCCTAAAGAGTTCGGCTCCGAGCCTAAGGAGCTCGGCTCCGAGCATAAGGAGCTGGCTTCGAGCCTAAAGAGCTCGGCTCCGAGCCTAAGGAGCTCGGCTTCGAGCCTAAGGAGCTCGACTCCAAGCCTAAGGAGCTGGCTCCGAGCCTAAAGAGCTCGGCTCCGAGCCTAAGGAGCTCGGCTCTGAGCCTAAGGAGCTGGCTCCGAGCCTAAAGAGCTCGGCTCCGTGCCTAAGGAGCTCGGCTCCAAGCCTAAGGAGCTCGGCTCCGATCCTAAGGAGCTGGACTCCTAGCCTAAAGAGCTCGGGTCCGAGCCTAAAGAGCTCGGCTCCGAGCCTAAAGAGTTCGGCTCCGAGCCTAAGGAGCTCGGCTCCGAGCATAAGGAGCTGGCTTCGAGCCTAAAGAGCTCGGCTCCGAGCCTAAGGAGCTGGCTCCGGGCCTAAAGAGCTCGGCTCCGAGCCTAAAGAGCTCGGCTCCAAGCCTAAGGAGCTGGCTCCGAGCCTAAAGAGCTCGGGCCGAGCCTAAGGAGCTCGGCTACGAGCGTAAGAAGCTCGGCTACGAGCGTAAGGAGCTGGCTCCGAGCCTAAAGAGCTGGGCTCCCAGCCTAAGTTGTGTTGAACATATCAATATAGCGAGAAGCTTATTAAGGATAAGGAAGATAAGAAGATAAGACTAAGGAAGATAAAGATAAGAATAAAGAGGATAATAAGATAAAGATAAGGAAGATAAGGAAGGTAAAGATAAGGATAATAAGATAAAGATAAGAAGATAAGGATAAGGAAGATAAGAAGATAAAGATAAGAATAAGGAAGATAAAGATAAGAATAAGGAAGATAATGATAAGAATAAGGAGGATAAGGAGATAGAGATAAGGAAGATAAAGATAAGAATAAGGAGGATAAGAAAAAGGAAGATAAGGAAGATAAGGATAATAAGATAAAGATAAGAAGATAAGGATAAGGAAGATAAGAATATAAAGATAAGGATCAGGAAGGTAAAGATAAGAAGAAGGAAGATAAAGATAAGAATAAGAAGGATAAGAAGATAAAGATAAGGAAGATAAAGATAAGGATAATAAGATAAAGATAAGAAGATAAGGATAAGGAAGAATCATTTATATTTTTTACAGCGACATGTGGGTGTGATGTAGGTTCGATATAGGATCGATGTAAGGTCGATGTAGGGTCAATGTTGGGTCGATATTGGGTCGATGTAGGGTCGATGTGGGGTCGATGTGAGGTCGATGTAGGGTCGATGTAGGGTCGATGTAGGGTCGATGTAGGGCTAGGAGTATATGAAACCATGGCTAATGAACAATAAAGCCAAACGACTCTTATTACAAAAAAAAAACATTTAAATTGTTGTGCGTAATTTAAATAAAATCAAACACATTATGCTCTTAGATGTAGACCACATTAACTTTGTAAACGTCTCGAAGAAATAAATGTATTTTAAGATTGAATTCTTGTGTAAACTTTTGGCTTCAAAGCACTCCTGCCTTGTCTAAATTGCTTTCTCTCTTCCAATATAAGCCTCCTTATTGTTGGGTTTCCAACCCGTACGGATAACCCTCGACGCCCGCGCAATGAATATCCTAATCTACCCGTATTTATCCACACAGTAGTAAATGGAAATCTCTGATAAAAGTTAATCCTTTAATCAGTTTCACCCTAACAACTCATAGCAACCGGTGTGCTTTAATATAGCTTAAATTTATTAACCTTATCCGGGTTTTAGTACTTTAAAAACCTAGCACTAAAATATAGAAATCGCTTGAGAATTATATATCATGACCTCTAACTTCCATGTGTTTATATAACTCTAGACAGCAATAAATGTATTTTAAAACTGAAATCTTGTGCAAAATTTTGCCTGCAAAGCCCGCTCTTTCTACCCGCGCGACCCTCCCGCCTGATTAGTGTACAAATATTTTGTACGTTAATAGATGCATGCACTCAAGCGTCGCTAATGACTTAGCAACATATAACAACGTATATAACGACCGCATATTTTTATCGCAAAATATATTACAACTGTTCCAATTCTAATTTCTATTCTTGATAAGCTTTCTTATGATCATCTTAACAGTATATATGTATGTAGGAGGATTGCTAAATAATGTTGAACAACATGCAAATATTGACCATAGCAACGACGTTGACAACCCAGAATTAGCAACTGTTTAGTTTAAAATATGTCTCAATTTTTGTGACGAATCGATTCCTCGCTATGGAACATACGAAAAATCCTTCAATATACCTGTGGAAATTTTTCTTTTCCGCGCAAAGATACGGCTATAACTCTGCTATATATTAATTTCGATAACAATTTTGCCATTCGAGGGATACGAACTATTCATAATCCCTCTATTGTATCACACACGTGGAGATATGCCAAAAAATGCGTAGTCAGCAAGTTTTGTCCGATTTCGCCCGAACAGGCCCGCGTGACGTCATTGCATAAAATAATGACGTATGTTAATTAATTAGTGCACAACCACCACAAAAATCCAGACACCACCACCTCCACCACACACCACCACCTCCAACACCTCCTCAGTCCTCCTCACTCCTCTCTCCTCCTCCTCACTCCTCCTCCTCCTCCTCACTCCTCCTCACTTCTCCTCACTCCTCCTCACTCCTCCTCACTCCTCCTCACTCCTCCTCACTCCTCCTTACTCCTCCTCCTCAC